ACCCGACTGTTTTGTTTTCGCTGAACCAAACGTCAATTTTCATGAAACCAAACGAAATATTTTTTAAAAGATTGACAATTAAATTCTCTACAAAATTACGTGTAAATAATCTTTTTAGCGTGAAAGATGACGGAATTATAAGAGAAAAAGTAAAGACGCCCGAGCAGGTCAACTTTCCAAGATAAGTTTTTGATATTTGCTTTGCCAATTTTCGACCCTTATAGTTAAGCCTATTTCTTCGATTTTACTATTTTCTAGTACTTGCAAGCCTGCTCTTTTTTACGCACTACAAAAAATGTTGATACTTATCAAAGCTGCCACGCAAATGACAGATTTGCTTGACAAGTCCGAAAATCGTACAGTTTGAGGTTTTCCGATGAACAGAGAGCACACAGTGTATTCGCAAAATTTTCAAATGTGTATTTATTCGATAGCCGAGATTTTAAACTTCAAGACAAAAAAAATTGCCGAAAAAGGATCATTTTTAGTTGAATTATGAGGATTTTCGCGGAAGGAACAAAAAACATGGATCAGGAAGAGCGGTTTTTTTCAGAAACTCAGAAACCCAATCTCGCTATTGTGGGTTGAAGAGATGGTCAAAAATTTGATGCGTTTTGGTTTCCGATAGAGAATTATGCGCTCTTTCAAATGGTCGTCTCAGATTTACCATAACTCAAGCTAGAGCTACGCAGACTTGAAAAAACTTATTTTTGCCTTGGAAAGTTGTCACTTTCGGGTGTCTTTACTTTTTCTCTTCTAATTCCGTCATCTTTCATGCTAAAAAAGTTATTTACACGTAGTTTTGAAGGGAATTAAATGACAAATCTTTTTAAAAAAAGTTCGATTCGATTGGATGAAAATTGACTGAGCTATAGCGAAAACAAAACAGTTCGGTTCTTCCTACCGCACCCGTTAGTAAATCTCTCAGAACTGTGGAATATCTCATTTTGTAGAGAAAGGTTGGCTCTACAAAGGTAAAGTGTGAAAAAGGGTTTAGTACTATATATAGAAAAAATATGCTTAATCAAATACGATTATTAATCGGCGTATCCCTAATTCGTATACACGATCATTTTTGAATATAGTGTAGACTATGTATTGACTAAAATCTCAAAAATTTATATTTGATATATATATCTATATCTATATCTATATATGTGCATATACATATATTGACAATTGTTTATTACTTTGTTCATATCTAAGCAGAGAGAACACCATTACAAACACAAAATGTTATAGATGTATTATCAATTTTAATTTGTTTCCATCGTGTTACAAAGACGAAAAAACAAACAATTATCTCCTCGGTAACTTCCGAAAGATAAATGGACCTAAAGAGACCACAGTTTGTGAAGTATATTTTACAAAAAAACTCTCATCACTCCCACTTTTCTTATAGAATCCGGCTAAAAAAATAATATAGCAACATAGTAGTGATATTTTTTAAGTAAAAAAAAGTCGCACAATAATGAATTAAAAAAAGATATTAAGAAGAAGTTGAATATACTTGAATAATGTTCTCAACACAAATTGGTGAACAAAGTTTATTTCATTTATCGTCTTATCCGAATTTTAAATATAACTAGAAAATATGTCTGTTTTAAATTACATACAACAGCAACAGCAACATTATGAACATCGAAAAATGAATTCACTAATAACACAAACAAAAACATTATTTTTTGATGAAACGTTTGCCACATATTTTCTTCGTGTCTATCCTGTTCGATGTGTCGTCTTTGTAATTGGTCTCAAATATTTACAGACTTATAAATCATTAAAACTTCATAATAATGATGTTAAGATCGATAGACAAGAATGCATCGATCTCAGTAGTTCATTATTTGAAATAAATTCGTTCAATCAAAATAATTTCTACTTAAAAAGTTTATCAACAATGACGAGAGAAAAGAAAATGACTATGACAGAAGATTTATTATTTATTCATATAGCTGTTTTACGTTTAGCTAAAAAAATACACATTGATGACGGTGAAGCTGATGATCTGTTTTCATGCTGGTGGTCTTATTTACCTAAACATACCCGTAAAAAAGTGAATATAATAGAACGACATATTCTTCATACATTAGAATGGAATTTAAATTTGAATGTTAATGAATTTGAAACATTTTTCAAAGATAAAGATGTTCAACTACTAATAATACGAGCTATTGATAACAGATGGTGTCTCATTGACGGGCAAGAAGTACGAATGAAGAAAAAATATGGTTTCAGAATTCATCTTAACAATTTTAATGTACAACAGCAAAAAATGATTGAAAATATCTTTAAACAACAACAATTTATAGCAAATGTATGTCAACAGATGATGAATATCAATATTTTTGTACGTCAATCTACGAGTGCCACTTTGCCTTTACTGTATCTAAGAAAAATAAATGATCGTTTTACAATTACTTTGTAAATAGGAAATAATACGTCAAACGGTTACCATTCACTAAAGATATAGTAAAGTCTTTTATTTACTTAGTCCTACACATCTCCTAACTTTATGATAGAAGAAGCCAAGGAGATGATACAAACGTTGTTATCAGGAAGATGAAGTCAACAAATGAATGATGAGGGAACATAATCTTGGAATAGGAGCGTAAAGTAAATAATTCATTCGTTCACTATTTGCCAATGTATTTTTCATATTTGTTCTTGAATGTTGTTAATTGTCATTGAAATTAGAGTATATTTTGCCTTGGAGAAACATCGAACGATTGTATTATCTATCATTAACTGTTTGCCTTTTCTTTAAAAGAATCGTTTAAATTTTTTTTAGAATAATCTTACAAATTTTTGCAAAACTTTTTAAATAAATTACATCAACGAATACCTTGCAGTGTTATCCTCTCTTTTTTCTTATAACATTAAATAATATTGATATAGTTAAATAGAATAATATTTCAACCATGTGAATGTCAAATAATTTCTTTCAAAAAAGTTATGAGTGTTTTGAACTTAATCATGTGACACAAAAAAGCGTCCAAAAGTTTTTTTCTGTTGTCTTTTTTTATCACATCTTGCTATGCTTTTTTACTGGACGTTTTGTGCTGGACGGTATTTTTGTGAACGCATTTTTCTGTATGGTTTTAGTCAGTTGAAAAAGCAAAATTTGAAGCGATTTCTAAATAATAATTGACTCGATTTTGATCACATTATAGTTTGGAAGCACACCTGATCTGTTGGGAATATCCGTTATCACAACAAATCAATGGTTTCTGAGATAAACTAGTGTAGGGGAATGATTCATCTATGAAGTATGCATTTAAATATTATGCTTATCAAATAATATTTTGGATGAATTTTGTTGACTCATTGTTGTCGACGCTTGTTCGTGGACGTTTTCTAGTAGCCGATTTTTTCGACGCTTTTTTTCTTGCCGTTCAGAATTGATTACAATACGAGATATCACTGGACTTTATCTAACCATTTTACGGTAATCCATGTTACTAATGAATAAGAATTTTCTTCTATTACCATTGCTAAACTTTCAATATCATTCAGTCCATCATCATCTTGTCTAAGTACAGTATCAAAGAGTAATTTAAATCGATTTTTATTTGATGGTTGCCTACCATGAGAATTCATTAAATAATAGCCAACATTTGGACGTCTTACACAAAAATCTTTTGCTAAAAATCTTAATCCAATATCATCATCTTCTCCACCCCAATTAAAATATTTATTCGAATAACCATTTAGTAAACGAAATGTTTTTGGTCGTATAGCTAAAACTCCACCGACGAGAAACGAATAAATTGATGTATAAGAATTATTTACATTTGATCTGACTTGTGCTGACATATGAATAGGATAATGATAATGTTTTTGTTGATCTTTTTCTTTGTAAGGTATCCCACATGAATATAAATTTTGATCGTTTTCAGGAATTAAATCAACATCTACGTATAATAATAATAAAACAAAACTCGATGATGAATTTTTACATAGTCAAAAATGAGATATAAATTTGATAGACAAATACATGAAAAGAAAATACATTCTTTTAACCATTGAACTGTAACGGTTAGAACTTCTGATGTGTTATCAGAAGTTATGGATTCGATTTCCGATCGAGGCATACATTTTCTTTTCATATATTTATCTATCAAATTATGTCTCATTATCGATTATATAAAAATTCATCTTCGAGTTTTATCTAAATGTTCTATTTCAAATTTATTTACTTTGTCAATAAATCATAAATGTTTGAAAATTAATTTCTAAAAAAATCATACCGTGAAATATGACGCACGTTGGTTTATAAGTTTTCATTATGTGAGTAAAACCAATATTGTATAAACGACCTTTATTAAATGGACCTAAAGTATTTAAAAAGTTAATAATATTTATTCTACGTTAACACATTTACTGTTCATGTCTCATTTATTTAATATTTGACCATGGAATTCATGTATCAGATAGAAGACATTTGCAACATTAGACTACATTTCCTCTTTCTTATTTAAAAAGTCAAAGAATAATATAATGTGAGTCCCTAGGGTTACAAAATTTTAATCTTTGTACTGTTTTTCTCTTTCTTACTAAATAAAGTTTATATCAACATTAGACTAAATATGAATTTTTGTTATGAACGTGAAACGTACACAAAAATTGACTAGAGGAGCAGAATGTGAGAAAAAGTTTGAAAATATGTATCATATGTAATTCAATGGAACGTGGCAAAAAGGTTAAGGAAAAATATTTCGATGAATCATATATGATATATGGACAGTGAACGTGTTAATTAATATTTCTATTAATTTACCTTTTGACTGTTGTTCTACAATAAATATTTTATAATTTCCAATTTTTTGTCGTTGAATCACCGGTATTAAATTATAGAGTAGAAGACGTAAATTTTTTTCTCTGTCACGATATGAAATAATAATAGCTGTTGTTTCATTATAGAAAAATTGACATTGTTCATAGTCATGTTTATTTATCGGTAATTTCCATTCTGTGATATATTTTTGTAGATGAGAATTTGGTATAAAATCATCTGGTAATTTTGTTATGATACTTAAATAACCGGTTAAATTTACTTGACATATTTTCCACATGTCATTTACAAGATCTGTATAATTAATTATAGCATTATCACCTGCACATACAACAGGATAATTATATAATTGATTAACATTAATTGGTATCAGAATCTTTTCATTTTTGATTAAATTACTCCATTTATTATAAATATCATTGTGACTATTTAATTTATTTAATTTTTTATAAGATGATGTTTTAATTATAATATATACAATTGAACATAAAAGGACTATGGGAAAAAATAATCGTCGAAAACATTGCCAAATTCGTTGAGAACTTTTACAACGCATACTCATCATACTATTAAGAACAGTAAAAATTTTATTCTTTTAACATATGTTTCTTCTCTCATTTTACAACAGTTTTCTAATCCGTACATTCAATCTAAATTGCAACTTTGTAATAATACATGAGCAATATTGACGAATGTTCTCTTTTGTGTTCTGAATTACAATATAAAAATATAAAAAAAAATTTTGCGGTTCTCTTCATTGAAACAAAGAAGTACTCATTCTGACACAGTACTTTACATATATATATATATATATACAAATGTTTTACTTGGGGATTTATTGATTAATCTTTCTCACATACTAAAAGAACATCAGAATTTATTCAAAAGAAGTGACCTTTTTTTACATAAAACAAAAAACCATGTTTTAAACGATCTTGTTCTCCACATTTGAAGCAAAAATGTTAAGTTCTTTTTTGAAACGTAACATAAGATAATCTAATATCATCTATACAAAATTTCCTAGAAAACTGATTCAAAAAACATTAACAATTAAACTCTACATTCATATCGTTGAGATTTATTGGTATGTTTGATTTTTTGAGTACGATCTTTTTTTTCCATGTCTCGAGAATAAGTACATCAATAGCTCGAGACTTTCGATGCATTGATTTTTTACTTAGGCCGTATCATCCAACCTTCAAGCGTAGCATGTATCTTGATTGTCTTACAACGAATTTTTTTCGCTAAAATAGACTCTTTAATAATCTGAAAATAACTTTCGGCAAATGCATTAGATGGTCTGCCATGTCCGAGAATATTGTCGATTACTGTGATCGATTTATTCTTGGTATATCTAACGAGACATACCGTTGAGTATCACATTACTTTTCGGCAAAAAGATACTAAAAAGTTTAATGCTTTTCTCATGTCGAAAAACCGAAAAAACTCGAAGGGTGTCGAAAGTCGAAAAATTCTTGGTCTTCATTAAAATTAACTTTTTCGACTTATGTTACAACATGGAATGTTCAAACTAGTTTTTCTGATCCAGCATCGAAAGCTGAATTAGAAAATGGTATTAGACCCAGTTCGAAGGTAAACACTCGTCCGCCATGGACGTTCGAATAGACAGGTGCTAAAAAGGTATGAGTCATTTTGTAAACCTATCTCGTTTTTTGTCTGGAGGACTGGAAATACGATTTATACGTCATCGTCTCCGCCAACACTCCAGCTTCAAAAGTATGTTTCGCTTTTTTAAAAGCTCCTTTCCATTGCTGAGAAAAGTCGATTTTACTAGGAAAAATCGAAATTCTGACCCTAATTCACAATTTTCTCCATCAGAACTCAACTTTCACGCAATGAAAATATCATATTCGGAATCAGCGTCAAAAGTCAAGTCGAATGATGTAGTT